AGCCTTTATGTGCTAGATTTCCTGTTTTCCTTGGAAACCACTCACTGAACACCACTACTTCCCAGCATCAGTCTCTTCCTCCTTCTGTCCCTACCCTGTCCCTCCTCAACCCAAAGCGTTCATGCTTAATGACCCGAGATATTACCACCCAGCATTCTCAGTCAATTGGCTTTTGTGTGGAGTGAATGAATAGGATGTTTCTCTGGCCTCCTGTCCTGAAAGGGTCTTCCTGCACTCTTTGGAATGTGCTGCTCAAACCAGGAATTAAACTCTTCTGTTTCTCTCTCCTCATTTTTTCCCTGATTCTTCCCAAGATCAGACCCAACCTGATGGCGCTGCCCTGAATCAGGCCTTTGTATTCATGCAGGTTTATTTCTAATCTTCTTAAGGACCCAACTGCTCCTTCATACCGAGGATTTGAACCGTTTTGGAGATATTTGGGGAAAATGCTTTTCGAGGTTTTTTTTGCATTTCCCTGTTTTCTGCCCTCTGCCTCAATGGTGTGGGTGTGGAAAGAAATGTTGGAGGTAGGGAAGGGGAAGATTGGGCCAACTGGATCTTATTCAGACATTCTGTAGATTGCAGAGAGAGTTGGGCTGCCTTCCACCCCAGAGCCAGAGCACTGAGAAAACAAAGCTTTGTATGAAACTGATGCTTGTAAGTTTACTCTTCTCCTTGACACTTATGTATGTTTTCTCCTTTCTTTCCACAGGATCCACATCCAAGTCCACTGATCACTTTGGAGACCCAGGTGAGTACTTCTTCCCATGATCTTTGTCAGTGATCTGCACCTGGATGCTCCAGTACCAGGTCTCCAGGGATTGTTTATGTATTCTCTGGACATCATGGCTCAGAAGGGCTGCACAGGCATGTTAAGGCTGTCTCCTTGCCCCATCTGGGTGTCTGGGTGCATACACATGTGTGCACATACTCTAGCTGAGTATGTACATGTGTGTGTAACAGTATGGGTGTGTATGTCCATTAATGCATTGCCCACTTGTGCAAGAACCATAACCATTTCCTTTGATTTGCCCTCTGTCCTTTCCTTCTGCCTAGCAATCCCAAGGAGGTAAAGGCAAAAGGAAAGATGACATACAGAGGAGTCATGAAGAGGGAAGATGTTGCTTTGTAATGTTTTTGAATTTGCAGAACTTTATTCTCCTACAGTTCAGGCAGCAGAACCCAACTGCCAGGGCAGGAAGTTGCAGCTTTCTGTCTGATTCCTTAGGCAATGGTATTCCAGGTGAGGGTGATGACATATGGGGCCAATGAGGATGGCATAGCCCTTACATCTGATTTGTGCTCTCCAGGGGATGATACGGTGCAGCAGCTATCAGTGCATCCCTTAGCATCTAGGGAGCCCAGCTAGAATCCAGTTCTGTGTCTTCCAGGCCATTATGGGGCCACTTAACCCTATCCTTTCCCATCAGGAATATGGCCACAGGGGTGGTGCCTCCTTCCCTGAGAACCACAGGAAATGATGTTGATAGAAAATGATGTCTTTAAAATCAAAGGTGCACACTAAATGCTTGTTAGTGTTAGTTTTTTTTTAATCAGTAGTACTGTTGCCTTCCCTGCTGGAATTGAAGGGGCTGTATCTGGGTAGATCATCTCCTTATCTCTGTCTCCAAGTTGATCTGACAGTAAAGACACAAGAAAGATAGGATGGCCCCCCTTTCAGAGCCCCACAGTGAACTCTCTTCAAGTGCCAGATGCTCAAAGCTTTTGGAATATTTTAAGGCTGAATAACAGCTCCTTTGGGATTTCTAGAGCATGTTGGCATAGACCACCTGCCTCCTCCTTCCTTCCCCCTGCTCCCTGGGTCCTTGTCTCTCCCTGGCGTCTCTGCTCGGGTCTTCCTAAGGGGAATGAGGTGAAGAGCAAACCCATCCTACTTCACAATGGCCAGAATATCAAGAAGGCCAGAAGTTGTGGCAATAGCCAGTTGGTGGAGTTTCTTCACACTGGCCTGTCCTCTCGTTCCCCAGCGCATAAGCGGATACACCAGCCCCACAGCTAACCAGGCTCTGGGTCTGGCACAGCAGAAGAGAGGATGTGACTGTGGGAGGAAGAAGGCTCCAGTTTCCTCTGCCAGCTGGGTCATCCTCTGGTCTGCTTTTTTTCATTCTCTTGTTATTCACTCACCCCTTTGCCATTGTTCGCATATGTCAATTTCATCTGTTGTACAAATTACCTAAAAAAAATATTTTTCCCTAACTGAACTAACCTTATTTAAGGAATAGACTATTGTAAGTGAATGGTTCCCAGCCAGGGCTAATTTTGACCCCCAGAGGATATTTGGTAATGTCTGAAGGCATTTTGGTTGTCTTACCTGGTTGTAGGGGGTTTGCTTGGTCTCTTCCTGGAGACCCAGGTTGCTACTCTGTTTCCCAAATGTATGGACCAACCCTCCATAGGAAGGAATTATCCACCATGAAATACCATGACATCAAGACAGAAAATCACTGTCTCAAAGCAGTTGTATTGGTGAATTCATGGGTTTGAAGTGCTGGTTACATTTAGGGAGGACTTAACATTAAAACAAACATTAAACTGAAAATGCTCCTCTGGGTGCCATCTCAAGTCATATAAATGTGCCCCCAGAGGTTCACGTGCTGCACTTTGGAAAATGTTTGCCTCCACCACCTAGCCTGTCTTACCCAAAGGATCATGAGAGAGCTTTCAGAGTGTGTTTGTAATGATGACTGTTCATGTCTTAATCAGTGTTCCCCAGAAGATTGATTAGGCTCAGGAAAACCCAAGGGCAAGCGGTCTGTGTCCAGAACTCTGGGAGCCAAGTCTTATCCTCCAGCTGGAGCAGCTGCCCCCAGGCTGGCTCTGTCCCTAACCTTCCTGTGTCCTTCACTCTGGACAAACCCTGCCAGTCCCTCCAAGCCTCCATGGGAGAAAGCAGTCACATGCCTATGGCTTTGGCTGGCACGTTCTAAGGGTAATAGCCTGCCCTGTGCAATGACTGCTCCTAAAGCTCCATCTGTTGGCCCATGAGACCTCAGCCTCTATCTGCAGCCAGCGGTGGCACGAGGCACATTTTCCGCATCCGTGCCATGCCTTTGGGGAAATGACTCAATTTGTCTCCAAACAACGCTCCTTTGGTCTCATCTGGTTCCTGGCCTTTGGGGAGCTGTGGGATATTGTTGTCCTTCCCTGATTCTGATTTCCCATGCTAAAGGGATGCTGGAGCCAAACCAAAGTGTAAATGTTCTTTGTGTGACTGTTGGCAAAAGCCTGTGACCAGATCTGACTTCAGGCTGGGCCTTAGCTTGCTATGGAGCGAGCAGTGCTTAGCTGCCTGTATGCAGGTCAGACACGAGGGGCAATGAAAGGTTTCTGGCAAAAAGTGGTGTCTCAAAATGTTACCTGTATGCCATGAGCAAGTTGGCAGATGTGGCCGAGCTTGGTATAGCCCACGCTGCAGAGGTGACATGGCATGTGAGCTCTGAGCATGGGGTCAGGTCCTATTTCTTTCTTCAATGGCTCATGCTTCTCAGGACGACATTGCCTGATCTGTCCTGAGCCCGGGAGTCACAGGTGGGCTTGTCTGCTGGATGTCACTGAGAACTGTGTCCTAATATCACATAGCAGCTTGCTTGGCCCACCATGGGCACACAGGGTCCACTTTTTCATGCACCAGCTTGCCCTAGTATTAACTGCTTCTCTCCTCACCCACTGCTTGGTTAATTTGTCTGCATGCAGCTGTTGTGAGTTGGGGGAGATGGATTGGTTGGCTGCAGAGGACTCTCCTAATGCTCTCTGCCATTAGCACAGTGGAGCTTTGCACCAGTTGGTATCTGCAGGACTCTCCCTGCTTAATGGCCAGATTAATGGAATGAAGAAGCACAGCAATGTTTAAACCTCTGGTGTCAGCTTTCCCCACCTCAGACTGCCCCTGGGGATGTACCCAGGAAGCCCCAACTCTCAGTGGGGAGTCTTCTTTGATCTCCAGATGGTGGTTACCCAGGAACCAGGTGACCTACAAATGAAAGGAAAAGAATCAAAACAAAACAAAACAGAACAAAACTTCAAAGTTTGAAAGGAATTTCAATTTGCTTGGTGCTACGATTATCCTCACCCTCACTATCAAAATTGACTTTTCTCATTGTATTCTCAGACGCCTCAGTCACATAGGTGTTCTTATGATACCCAGTTTCCTAATGAGGTAACTAAGAATCAGAGAGGTTGAGGAACTTGCCCACAGTAACACAGGAGGCACATAGCAGTAGTGGCCATGAAACATGACATCAAATCTCTCTTCATGACCTCTATTTTCTTTTGCCTGAAAATAAAAACTGCTTGGCTTGTAGAAAAATTTAAATGCTCAGGTGAGGCTATATTTGCAACCCAAGTCCCGCAGATAGATAAACAGAGAGACAGAATGCTTTGCACAAGTGGCCACACACTTCCTTAGTTGTGGAGGTGGAGGTGGGTGATGGGCTGATGGATGGAGAGATGGATAGACAGACAGAGACACAGAATACTTTTCACAGGTTATCACAAGGCTGGTGGGTAAAATGCTTCCACAGTAGACTAACTAGAACATTTATTTTAGAACAACAAAGGATGAAACATCTCTGTGCACATCAACAGTGTTTTGATAAATTTGAATGTGTGTTTGATTTTCTTTCTCATTGAGCCTCCAGAGGGTTTATCATTTCTGAATGCACTCCAATTGGCATGGCCTCTTGTCATTTAATTTTAGCTCCTCTGCCCCACCCCTTCCCAACAGCTTCTCTGTCAATTAGTTAATGGCTTCTGCTCAAACACGCAGATACCCGGGGAGCTGTAATAAAGGAGCTCTTTTGTAGAGTAAAGATTTGTCAATCTGGGTATTTGTGAAGTGGGCCCCACTTGGAAGGGAACAGACCTTCATTTACACTGAGATCCCTCTCAGGACCTGAAGATCAAGGGCATCAGGAGGAAAGCTGACTGCTCAGTTTTCAAAACTAACCAGGTACTTGAATTTCTTTGATCAGCTTGCTGGGGGGATAGGAGAGAGTAACATTTACATTACTAAAAGATATTGCTGGAGCCATGAGGATTGGCAACAAATCTGATGCAGAAAATGAGCAGTGAATGGAAGAGACAAGTGATGTTTTACAAAGTGTATCTAAACCAATCCATTTGTTGCTTTGCTTATTCAATAGACAGCTTTTGGGCCATGCAGAGACCAGGGAAGCTGAGTGCTGGATGCTAAGGGTAAGCAGTGCACAAGACAGGAAATCTTCTGCTGATGAAGCATCCCTTCCTGATGGAGGAGTCAGATGGGAAATATACAAATGAATGTGTCCCTAATTTCAAGCAGCAAAAAGTAAATGGGAAGAAAACAGGCATGTTTGTGAGAGTGGGAAAGGTGGAAGATATACATTCAGCAAAGTGTCTCTCAGGAGCAGAGATCTGAGCTCAGTACAGAAGATCTAAATTGCCAGTTTACACACTAAAGTGTTACTTACTCCTGCTAAGACACCGTAAGAATAGTGTTCTGAAACTTTTGCGTATTATGACTGGGTTTCTTTAAAAATAATGCTGGTTTTCCGTACAGTCGGTGAAAGTGTTGGCTCCTTCAATGTCCTTGCATTGTTATTATGCAAAGATGAATAAGGAGTTACTTTATCAGGGAAGTGTGAAGAAAGAGGAATTTAAGGAGCTTAAAATCAGGGCTATCTGCTCACACTCCGTCTATTGGTAACCTTTTGATAGATCAAAGGAGTTTCAGGTCTTAGCAATGTTATGCCCACATGGGGGCTGATATCAGAAATCCTGATAATAGTTGTCATTAGCTAATTAATGGACTGGTACTCAGCTGAACTCCAACTTTAGTATCAACCAGTAGCTCTCAACCAGGGGGACTTTGCCGCTTAAGGACCATTTGGCTATGAACTGAGATGTTTTTGACTGTTACAACTTGTAAACACAAGGTGCTACAGGCATCTATGGGTAGAGGTCAGGAAAGCTACACAGGAGCATTAGGAAAGAATTATTCAGCCTCAAATGTCAGTTATTTCAAGCTTGAGACACTGATGTGTAACCTCATTTGCTCTGCAGTAGCTCACCTACAGACATTTCTAGCCACATAGTGATGGGTTCCCTAGTATTTTCTTCTTTATGTTTAAAGGTCACCTTCTCTGGTTAAGGTCAGACCTTATTTAGATGACAGGTTCTGCCTGCGACAGGTTCATTTTCAGCATATCTGAGTCTGCATTGACAATGACTCTCTGCACCCAGTAACTATCATACACATAAATATGTGCTCGGCATCTTTAACTAGTGAGTTTTGTGGATAGTTCTAGAGAAAAAATTTCATCAGAAGAGATGATTTCCTGAGAGATTTATGGCTCGATAGTACATAGAATATACAGTGATTTTAAAAAGAACTAAATTCAGCTTGGGGTATAGTTCAGCGATAGAGCTTTGCCTAGTATGCGTGAGACTCTGGATCCCATCCTCTGCACTGCAAAATAAGTAAAAATAAAAATAAAAATTCAGTTTCCTTGTGGGGGTACTGAGGGACTTGGCCTTCACTTTTGCTCTGGACTATAGGCGTAGATTTCTTTGAGCATCTTGTTTTTAGGCCTTTTCTCTTTCAGGGCCAGACTGTATCTGCTTTTGTGAGAACTTTCTCTGGAAACTCTTCCCCAGCTCACAGGATTAAATAAAGTAATAGCTGCCTCCTTACCTCTCTTCCAGCTCTGGGCTTCGATTAACCTTTCTCTCCGCAGAGAGCGGTTTTTGGAGTAATCAGGGAGCTTCTGAATGGCTCTTACCTGAATCTCCAGCCCATTAATTCTTATGGTGCCCAGCATCTGTTGAGAGAAGGCAAGACCAAATTGCTTCTCAGCCCAGCAGCATACTTTGGGCAGCTGCTCCTCTCTGGGGCAGATTAGGCTGGTTTGTGGACAGGCCAGGTCACTTTACCATGATTTTTTTTTTCCACTGGCTCTGATTTTCTGGGTCTTTAATTAGCCCTGTTGGAGGCAGGGAGGTGGCTGGCTGGACCGTTGCCTGGGCAGGGACTTGGCTTGCTTAACAGGGATGCTGCGCTTGGACCAGGGCTCCATTCTGTGGGGAGGATTTGTGGTTCTGAGGCTATGGACTCCTTTCTCGTTTGTATGACTCAGGGTGAGGAATATGAGACAGCATTCCGCAAATAGCCAGCAAGTTCCCCAAAGCACAGCCAGCCAAAGGCAACGTGTCGAAAAATAGATTGCGTTGAAATCACTACCCCTTTATTCTTGGTGGGACCAGACTTTGCCTAAGACTTTGGATGTCTGAATTTAACCCTTAGCTGAGAACATTTATAGTTACTGTTTGTGTCAACCATGATCACATTCTTTGGCTATACTCTATGTTTATTTTAAGATGAGAACTATATATTATATGTGTCTTATAAATCTGGTACTTTAAGCTAGCTTTCACTAAAGCATATAATACATGCTAGATACAGTTCTAAGAAAGATTTTTTTATGTGGGTCTTCTCATTCATATCTTACTGTCCCATATGGAGTGTGTTATTATCATCCCCATTTTACAGTTCAGAACTTGAGGCCTATGGTTTTGTGCACAGCAGGTGGAAAATGGAGCAGGATTTGAATTTGGCAGTTTAGATTTCACTGTCAGGAAACTAATCACAGCCCCACTTTACAGATGAGACCAGAGAGACTAAGTTTCCTTTTAACATAGTCAGTGGTAAAGCCTGGCTCCAGCCAGGTTACAAATGAAACTTGTTTCCCTTACTGCTTGTTGCTAAGAGTCCATAACAAAAAAGATATAAACATAGGCTTGATGCAGGTATTGATTCAGCATGGGTACGGATTCCTTGTAGATTAGATGTTGAGGTAGATCCAGTACAGTTATTTGTACAAATGTAAATTTGACTAGATACAGAAACAGATACCTCTAGTTAAATGTAGATGTAGATCTAAATTAGATATGTTTATAGATATGGAATAGATTAGATATAGATATAGATATATGAATAGACCACATATGGAATAAATACAGATACAGATATAATGGTTTGGATAAAACAAAAATTCCAAAAGACTCTTTGAGTTCAGCAATGAAGCCTTGGGGAGGAATTTGATTAAAGGGGTGCTATATACTTTAGCAGATTAACCCATTGATGAGTTTATAGCTGAATGAGCTGTTACAAGGTGGGGCCTGGTTGGAGGGGTACACTTTGAAGAACATACCATGTCCCCCGCTCTTTCCGCTCTGATCCTGTCTCTGCTTTTTGGCTGCCATGAGTTGAGCAACTGTCCTCTGCTTTGTCTTTCACCATGGATCAAAAGCCATGGAGCCGGCCAACCATGGACTGAAACTTCTGCAAGCATGAACTAAAATAAACCTTTCCTCCTCCAACTTGTTTATCTTGGGTATTTTGTTGCAGTGATGGAAATCTGGCTAACAGATGCAGATTAGGTGCAGACATGGATCGCTCAGATGGCCGCCCACAGCAAATGGGTTGGAAGCACATGTCCCTTCATGTTACTCCAGCTGGGGCTCCAGGCTGTGGCCGGGTCTGTCCTGCTCGCAGCCCACAGAACAATGGCACCCTGGGGTAACCCTCTAGCACAAAGCGTCATCCCCATTCACAGCAGGCACTGAGGCAGAAGCCCAGGGAGTTGCCAGCTGAGTGACAAGGCACTGTCACTGGATTTGCAGAGACCTACGAGTATCAGAAGGCACCACTGATGTTTGGCATCAGTGTTACATGTACCAGGATCTTGAGGCTTAGGTTTCTTCTCCATGGGGTTTTCAAGGCAGGGCTATGCACACTGGGGAGTTTAAAGAGATTTTCTAGTGCTAGAAAGTTGGGGTTGGGTTTGTGGGTTCTGGATCCCGGGGTAATTCACTTAAACAAATCCCTTTCACACCAGATCCCTTTCACAGAAGTCCAGGTGTGGGGGGGCCTAAACTTAGATGGTGCCTAAACTGGTGCCACTGGAGAGCCACGGAGGATTGCAGTGCTGCTTGCTCTACTGCTTTCTGTGTGCCTAACTGTTCTAAGTGCTTCATATGTGTGACCCTATTAATCACATCATCCCTGGGGCGAGGACTCTGTCCCTTCCTTTTAAGGTGAAGATATTGTGTCATCAAAAGGGTAAGGACCTTATTCACAACCTTCAAGATCCTGAATGGCAGAGGGTCCAGCCCTCTTGTGTATCTTTGGAGTGACTCATGCATTATGTAAGAAAACCAGACACAGACAGCTGAACCAGTGCTGGTCCTTCTGCACCCTGACTCATTGTGCTGCTGAAAGGCCCTCCTCTGGAGCGGCCAGGCCCTCAGAAACATGTGGTTCCTGCTGACTGTAGGTTGACAACTTAGGTGGAAGATCAATAGTTATACCTGGCTTCTTCGTATGTCTGTCCACTGGCTGACTCCCATTAAATCCCTGGCCCCATCAGACCCCTCTCTGCCCTTTCCTTCCTTCTCTGCCCCTAGTTGGACTTCGTCATCATGGACACTGGAGGTGCTGGCAGGGTATGGAAGGAGGTGCAATTGGGAAAAAAAAAAAAAAAAAAAAAGAATTGGATACTTTTCAGTGGTTGACTTTGTCCTTGAGAGAACCACAATTTTTGCCCCTCTCATAGCGACAGCTATTTTTTCCTCCCCTCCAGGCCCATGATGGTGACAGCTCTCCCCTATTGCTGGCCTGAGCTACAACATCTCCCTTGATGTTCCTTATGACACTTCTCTGTAGCATTTTATTGATGATACCTTAGTAGGACAACAATCTCTCTTAATCTCTCTTTCTGTCTCTGTCTTTCTCTCTCACTCAGTCTGTCTCCCTCTTTTTCTCTAGTTTGAGATCTTCCCTTTGATGATGTAGTACTGCCAATGGGACTTTTCAGGATGAGTCACTATCCTTCTTGCCATGTTTTGATAAAGCATCAAGTCTTTCCACTGGGAGCAAGGCCCAGACGGAGTCCAGGGGAGTGTGAAGCTCTTTGGAGGGAACCTGCAGAGTTTTCTGGAGGGAAGATCTTAGCTGTTGTTCTATTTGTGACAATTTCATTCTAAAAATGGAGCCAAGAAACCAACATGCTGAACAGTCCTGTGCTAACAAAAGTATCTGAGCACCATGGATGTGCAGAGATGCTCCAGGCAGGGGACAGCCGCTCCAAGAGTCTTGTCACTTGGTCACATCCCTCTGTCTGTCATAGCCAGAGGGCTCTGAATGGCTTCTTCCTCCAGGGAGCACAGAGATCTAGGGCAAGGATGAAGGGTGTGGGGGAGGAGGAAACAGGCCTTCAGCATCTTGCTGAGGGCCTGGCATAGACAGGCAGGCATGCAGACAGACAGGCTACAGACAGACAGACAGAGGCAGACAGGAAAGGCAGATCATTGCTGCCAGCAAGCAAATCCTTCATAGATTCTCTTTTTCTTGTCCTCTGTCACACTCCAGGAAATGGTAACTGTCCTAGCACTTCAATCTGATTTCTCAGAAGTGCCACCACCTCCCTCTGTGGCTTTGAGAGCCAGTGGGGAGGGTCAGTGTGTCACTGTTTCTCCAGCCCAATGCACCTTTCCCTGCAGGGTTTGTTTCCTCTTGAAAAGGAATGTCTTGTAGGTAAATGACACCCTTTTTCTCTTCTTCTGAGAACTGTAGCTTCTGTCTGCCCCCTGGAAAGGGGGCATCTAGGGAGAAGCAGAGGCTAGATTGGTGGGGCCAAGGGCAGAAACAGTATTACTGTCTTGCTAAGGAGAAATCCAGCTAGCTCTGTGCCGGAAGGAAGAGCCTCCAACTCCAGAAAGGGCTAAAAGAGACTTTTTGGCTAGGTTACCAGTGTCCACATGCTCTGCCCTAATTATAACCAGGCACCAGTTACAGGAGAGGATGTAATCCTCTCATTACAGGGCCCTAGACCCAACGGAATGCTGCAGGACTCCACCTGGCCAGCTGTGGCCTGTACATGGGTTCTCTTTGGCCTGAGAGTATAGTGGTTCTTTAGAAACTATGGAGTTCTGGAGAAGGAGTTCTGAAATCCTGGAATTTAAAGCCACACCGAGTCTCCTGCCCCCAGCAGTGCTGTGGTGCATCCTATCTGCTTTTTAGGGGTGGGGTCTTTGGGGGAGTCACCTGATCACCACAGCCCCCACCAGGCATCCTGCCCTCCTTCCCTTCCTAGACAGGTGCCTGGCATCATGTTTGTCACAGCCTTAGGACACACAGGGTCTGAAGTTCTCTGAGTCTGACATGTGCAGTGGACAAGGCCCCCCGTCTGCTCACTAGGCTCTGCAGGTTCATTTCCAGGACCGCACCCTGTGGGGGCTATGCTAGTGTGCTGTAAGACCACAAGCAGTGTCCCCAACCTCTACCCAGAGGGTGCCGGTGGTTCCTCCTGTTTCCCAAGATGTCTCCAGACTTGGCCTAAAGTCCTCTGGGGAAAAATCCCTGCCACAGCATGAGAACCACTGATCTAAGCTAATGTAGCATCCAGGGCCTGCAAAAGCAGCAGCTGCTGACTTTAGTAATGAAATAGTGCTGGTGACATCTGTTTTTAGACGATTGCCTAAAAATATCACTGGGTTTTGAGTTTTTGCTCCCAAGTGACCTCATATGGGCTGAGGTTCTACACACATTTGTATATATGTGTCAAAAGTTTTAGTGGGGCATGTAAGGATGACACAGAGGAAAGTTCTAATGTTACATTCATTTATTTAGCAGCACTGGGGATTGAACCCAGGATCTCACTGAGCTACATTAGTAGCCCTTTTCTTATTTTTTATTTTAATACAGGGTCTCACTAAGTCTCTTAAGTTGTTTAGGCTGGGCTGGAACTTGTGATGCTCTTGCCTTAGCCTCTTGGAGTGCTGGGATTACAGGCATGTTTTGCTCTTTTTGTGAGTTTCCCCGTTTACAAAGCCAGCAAGACCTGAGGCATAAAAAGTGAAGATCCCTCCTCTCCCGGCATTCACACACAAATGCATGTGCCACTTCTGGGCATCCAGACCCTCAGGCCCAGTCACTTTTCTGCAACAGGCACTGGTTCGAGTTCTGGGCTTTGTCATGGGTGCCCAGTCACCTTGAAGACTGCAGGGCTGGGGTTTGGCAGGGTGTCAGATTTGCATGGTTGCTGTATCTCAGGAGGGTATGGGCCTTTGTGACACCCGGAAATTATTTGTGGCTTTGGGGGTTGGCCCTGTAACGTATTCAAACCCGGCTGCCGTTTATTCCCCAGACTCTGTCAAAGAGTCCTGTGTACAGAGCAGTTGCTTAAGACAATGGCTGCTGTGTGCCATGCTGGCCATGAGTTGTTTACACGGTCCTGCTGGTGAAGTTCCTCCCATCCTGTTTTTGGAGTGTGGCAGGATTGGAAACAGTTTATTTTAAAAAAAATTGGGCAAGGGGGACTTGAAGCCCTTTTGTAAAGTATCTGTTTTTCATAGTTGCTATTATCAACTGTATCCTGTATTATACATGATTGATCATTTTGTTCAATATACATCTATCGAGTGACTACCATGTGACAGATACTGTTTTAGTGGCTGGAAATCTACCCTCAAGCACCATGCTAGTCTCTGTGCTCACGAGCTCACAGTGTGAATGGACATCACACGAAGAAGGTGTTTCTGTGCTGTGTCAGATTGCGACAAGAGCTTATGAAAGGAAGGCAGGGGAGAGGTGGACCGGGCCAGGTAAGTTAGGGAGGGTTGTGCTCTACTGGGGACATTTCCACACAGCAGCGTTTGAGCAGAGACCTGCAAGTGTGAGTGGATGAGCCTGCTCAACACGTGTGAACAGGGAGCAGCAAAGCTCTGAGGTGAGTTGAACTTGGCCTGTTGGTTTTACAGCAGAATCTGATGTGGCTATAGCAGAGTAAGGGATGTGAGGAGAGAGAGAACAAGAGCGAGAGCGAGAGAGAGAGAGAGAGAGAGAGAGAGAGAGAGAGAGAGAGAGACGCATGGAGGTCAGTTTACATCATTAGGACCTTATCACACTTAGAAAGGAATTGGCTTCCCCTCCATACTAGGAAGTCCCTGGAGATTTTGAGCAGAGGGATGACATGGCCTGACACTTACAAATGGGACTGGCAGTTGTCCTACTGAAGTTTGCTCCAGTGGTCAAGGGCAGGGACTGTTGCATTAGACACATGGCTGCAGGGGTGGTTTGGACCATGTACCAACAGTGGAAGCCAAGAGAGGTGGGTACATTCTGAGAGTGCAGCCTGCCGAATTTACCCTGGATTAAAGCAGCACAAACACCTGATAAGGCAAAGCAAAACACAAAAGCAACATCAAGACAAAAGTCAATCTCTGTGTCCCTTACTGTGTTCTTTAGAGATAACCGCTGCTGGAAGTGTTTTATTTCTCCTTTGCATATTAACCTATGTGTTGTGTACTGCAGGAGTGTCCTGTTTCTTTGAAAAGAAATCTAATAAATGATATTTTATAGTAATTTTCTTTGTTCTCGCTATACATGCATGTATCTTATTTCTCATTTCATGTCAGTACATATTACCTCTTCCTTACTGTTAGTTTTCTGTTTTTTCAAAGTATATTGTCAATAGTAACTCCTCAGAAAATACGAATTGAATGATTAGCTATCTCATCATCCAGTTAATTGGTTTCCTGTTGGCAGACATTTAGATTCTTCCGTTTTGTTTTCTTACTTTGAGCTGTGCCGCTCACAATTCTTGTACGTGTAATTTTTCATATGTGTGTGTATCTGTCGGGTAAGTGAATGAACTTAGGATTGCTAGTGCAAAGGGTGTGTGCATATTAAATGTTGAGAGGCATAGCTGAATTGTCTTGGAGAGAGATCCCATCAAATCTGTCACAGTGTATGCAATTTCCTGTTTCCCTCTCAAAAGCACAGGTGATTATCAGCTTTATAATCTTTGACAAACAGATGGGTAAAAACAGCATCTTTCTGTTTTGATTTCCATTGTAGATATGAATGGCTTGAACATTTTGCAAAAGTGGTATTTGTTGATTCCTTCCTTAGTTCCTTATTCCAGGATTTCTGATGGCAGTGTTTAAATCCTCTGCCTCCTTTGAGTAAATGGCTGTGTAACAATTTCAGAGACTGGATAAGCACTACAGCTACAGTGCTAGAACTTTTAACTGATTAACTCATTGAACCTTGCTGTGATGAAGATTCTATTCAACCTTCCCAGAAAGGAGCAGGGTTAAATCAGTCACTGTAGACCATGCAGAATAAGGGGGAGCCAGAAATTAAACCTACACCAGTCTCTTAACCACTACACCACACAGAAGATGGATTTGGTAATAACTGTGAGTGTCTTTTAAGACTTGGTCTCTCAGTGATCGTTTGAAAGCAAGAAGCACTCCTGGATCTGGTATGCCAGGGCTATAACACAGACATGGGCCCTGTCTGGGCTTAGGGCCACATCCTGTGGCATGGAACCTGGAGGTGGAGCTCTCTATTAGGCCTCTGAAAGATATTCAGACTATAACCATGTTCAGTGACAGACATGAGGCCAGGCAAGAGAATGGGTCACCTCTTTTCCTCCTGATGATGGATTACCACTTTTCCTCTTTTCCTTTTCCTCAGTGCTGATCTGAGCTGCAAAACTGAACCTGGAACTGAGTGCAGAGGTACTCATTTCTTAGACCTGTAGAGTGGATAAGGAGGAGAGTGAGTAGGGGGAGGGATGGATGAAGGATGGAGAGGTGAATGGGTGACAGGATGGATAACTGTGGGTGAGTGATGGTTGCATGAATTATGGATAATGGAAAGAAGGAACAAACTAATAAGGGAAAAAGTAAGAATAGAAAGACCACCTATTAGGGTTGGGGATTTAGCTCAGTGGCACAAGTGTCTGCCTGGCAAGCATAAGTTCAATCCTGGCACCCCCCCCAAAAAAAAGAAAGAAGGAAAGAAAGAAAGAAAGAAAGAAAGAAAGAAAGAAAGAAAGAAAGAAAGAAAGAAAAGTTTAATTAATTAATTAATTAATTAGATGAACAATAGGCCATGTCATTTCATTTTTGTCAGTTTCATCATGCCCAGCCACTGCTTTAGACTCCAGATTGGAAGATGAGGGGCCTGGGGCTGTGCCATGAGTGAAGTCACCATCTAGAGAAGATCATTGTCCTGGACCCTTTGGCTTCTGAGTAAATCTGTGCCTCCCATTTCTGAATAATATTTTGAAATGCACAATTATATCACAGTACAATGATACAAAATATATTAAGATTTTTTATAGCATAATACTGCATTAGCATTTTTATTAACATATTAATTAGGTTGATTTGGCAGCAGGTCTAATAACTACTATAATTTTAAAACAGTGACAAATGCAAATGATACTTTGAGTAGTTACCTGCTGCCAAAGCAGTGTGACAGGGAAATATCTGCAGCTTCTTTCCATTCATGTAAAATATCTCAGGTCTGGCTAATACTACTGCAGTCTGTTAACCACATCTGTAAAAAGGCATGGTGAATTTCAGTTGGAATTAGGGAAAATAGGAGAGTAAATATGTATAAGTTCAGAGACCCACAGACTTCTCTCTCATGATGTGTAAGTCCAGAGATTTAAAGATGGTACCCCTGGGATGGAAGAAGGCATAAATTATCCCAAGGTGTTCACAACTGGGCTGATCTCCCAGAGTGAACTGGTGAACAGGGTCATCATACTCCATGATCTGTGTCACTGTCTCTCTCTGTCCTTTTTTAAAAAAATGACTAAGTACAATTGTATTTTAGTGTGATGCATAGACTTTTGGTTCTCTCCCATAAAGTGGTATCAGTTCTGTGATAATAGAGAAGCACCTGGTACAACCCAGATCTCTCAGAATGTTTCCTAGAGGGACTGTCATCTGCAGCATGCCCTAGAGGGTGGATGGGAGCTAGAACAGGATCGGCCAGGAGCAGAGGCTATCACTAACAGAGATGGAAATGTGAGTCCTGTAAGAAAACTGTAAGAAATGTAGTATTAATGGAACACAGCACAAGGATCATGGATTGGCAGTTAATGAGGAAAGTGGAGTAGAGATTGGGCCAGATATTGAACAGGATATCTGGGAGCTTGAGATTTCTCCTTGGGTCAATAGAAAGTTACAGATGATGTTTGAGCAGGAGAGTTGCTTGGTCTAAGATCAGTGTGAGAAGATCATTTTGGCTGCTGCGTGGGGAATGAATTGGAGAAGTGAACCGAGAAGCAGGACGAGAAAGAGAACCTTCAGTCCACAAGAGCAATGATGGGGGCCTGAACTGGAAGGAGGATATTGGGAAAGGAGAAAAGGGGATATATTTGAGAGCCACTAAGATATATATTGGATAGGCAGGACTTTGACAGGTGGGATTTGGGGAAGAAAATGAGATTGGGAAATGTAAAAGATGGATGTGGAAGGAAGAATAAAAAGAAATCATCCTGGAGATAGAAATTTGTGTACTTATAGTGAAGTTGTCAAGTAGTGGATGATCAGGAAGGACTGACCCTCAGTTTGATATTTTGTTAGTGCTGAGGATTGAACCCCAGGCCTCAAGTGTGCTAGGCAGGATCTTAAGCAGCCTTCTACCTGGCTTTCCCAGAAGATGGAGGCTCAGAGGGCTTCTCTGCAACTGGTGTTGGGGAAATCCCATACCCAGGAGCTCAGGCAAAATTGCCATTGTCAGGTTCAGTTCCAGGTTCTCATGAAGTCACTGCTGGTACCAGATCTGCAGGCCACTGTCTCTCAGCTGTGACCATAGACAAAAATAGAACAAAACCAATTTTTAAAAAGGAAAACCTGTATTTTATAGGGATTTATATGCCTTTGTGGGGCTAAATACTATTTTTCCTAGCTCCAGTTGACATTATAAATGATCTTATAAAATGCTGTGATAGCACAGAATGGATACCATGTTGCAGAATATACGCCTTTATGTAGGAAGGGCTTTTAAAAACCCATTCCTGACTTGTGCAGGCAGAAAAGTGCACAGTGCTCCATCTGAGAAAAGAGCACTTTTTCTGGGACCACTTCACACTGTCAAGGTTTCCAGAGCCAAGAAGACATCCCTGGCAGGAAAGGAGACCATCTGACACATGTACACAAGCCACCCCCCACTCCTGCCCAGTTTGCAGATGTTCATTATGCTGTGTTAAAGCTTCGACTTGCTTTGCCAATAGATTCTGGTCTGGCTAGACTTTCCCTGATCAATTTAGAAGCTGACCTTCTACAAGGTAAGTGTGTCTCTTTGATGCCTGGAATGACCCTGGGAAGAATGTGCATGCACATGTACACACATGCACACACACACACACACACACACACACACACACACCAGCAAGGGATAGAGCCCCTCTATCAACACTCCCCTGGTTGCCTTTGGCTGCCTTTTTTTCTGCTTTTCCATTTGCCTCCCCCAGTCTTTGGACATCTGCATTCAGAATTCACCATCATCCAGGAAACAGATTTTATTTTTCCCCTACTGGAAAAATAGAATCAAATGACAATCCTGGGAAAAACTAGAACACGCCAGTGGGGACTTGGATGCATTGTTCTCTGGTTAGCTGGGGATGACAAAACACTGTTGTTGCAGCCTAGCTTTTAAAATAATTTCAATGTGTGTTAGTCCACATTCCAGTGTGCTCAGTCTGTGATGGGGAGCTGACTGTCTGTGGTGGTTAACCAGGCAGCTGTGGTCTCCTCTCATCCTTCTGTGTGGGATGCTCCCTGCATACCGTCTCTGC